GGTTTTGACTTCTCATTGGAACTTCAGGAAATTTCATCTAGAAGCAATCGCAGCTGAACACTGGACAAAGATTCAAATTGCAAGTTTGTTAGGACTTATCGATCTTAAATGAAGACATTTAATGACTTCAAGCTGGTATACATCATGGGAGTGGTGGATAGCTAAAACGATGCAGCTGTACAGTTCTGCCAGGTTTTTAGTGATTCTCTAACTGATGTTATTCCATGATGTATATCAAGTTGGATTTATTAAATATCCTAACTGTTTTCAAAAGTCCTGTCCAGCAAGTAATTCGGGTTTATTGTAACTTTCAGAAGAATGAATGGATATCTGAGACAGCAGTATTTTCTTTGTAATTCAAGTCCACGTTATTAGGCACAGAATTTATTTGTTGGTGAACCGATTAAAACGTTTCTCATTCTGCAGTCAGAAAGACATTTTTGTACAATAATGCAAACTGAGATCATTTTTTATTAATTCTGTGGCCTTTAAATTTCATAGTTTAGTCAACTAGATTGCTCACTTGAAGTATACAACATAAAATACGGAAAATTATCAAAAATAAGATCTGTCGCCATCAACTGGAAACCAGTCGGCATTTGTTACTTTTATGAATATCTTTGAATGGACGAAGATTTGACCAAACCGATTTCGTTGAGAAATTCTATTGATGATGAGTGATAGCAGATAGTATATTCTCTTGTCTTTTATTATTTCGTTAGAAAATAACATCATTGTCAATCTTATAATCAAAATTCTCATAGGAGTCAGATGTTCGACACACGTTTTCTTCAATACTCATGTACATCGAGACAACTAATGTGACAGTGAATCAAGCGACTGTTTTATTGCCGAATAAGTCGAATAATCAGAAATAAAATTTTCTATTCCAGAGTTGTATTATCAGAAGTTTAACACGTTTCTAAGTGTTATGAGAAGTCCTACTGACAGCGTTGTAAAACGTTCATTGGTGTCAGAACCTGAAGGTTATTTCACTGAACCATAGTCGTTATTTATGTAAGCTTTTTGTCGGTCAATTAACATGAACAAGAAAAATTTCAGCACAAATGTTTTACAGTCACAAGTTCTTCAAAAAGATGTTCACTATTAAAGTAGTATTTTTAAAACTCCCAAATTTAGTAACAAAGTCGATTGCGTCATAAGAACAAAAACACAGGCTGTCCCAAAATATTTATTCCGTATTCAGTATTAAAAGCTGGGATCTAAATTTTCTTAAAAATATGCTTCACTCACGTGAACGGTAACAGAGACTCACTGCGAAAGGTAACTAATGACAACATAATGAATGAACTTACACAAGTAAAGTAGCTGGGTAAATATAACTTTGAGTTAGCTAATAGAATCCAAAAAGCATATCATAAAATAGAAATGTGGCTTTTCAAAGTTTATCATTTTTAAAATTGTTAAGTTTGAAACGGTCACTTGATATTAGTGATTCAATGAAACTGATACGATATATAATTAACAAAAAGGTTGTACGGAGCAAACGTTCTTAAAGTGTAGGCAAGTTATTACTTAATTTATAAGAATAGTTAGTAGGAGAAATGAATGACTGTCTTCAGTGTACAACTTTTGAACACTGCTAAACAGTGATAGTGAGAAAGCTTAAAGTGTTACATATAGTTATAGGGATAGACACGAATAACCAAAAGTTGTTGCATATTTCTTTAGACTATGTTAATTGACCAAACTACGGAACAAGCCTTCATACCTGTTATTTCACGTGTTAAGATGAAGTTCGGTGGGTTCTTGCATACTAAAAAGACAAATTATTAGACAATAAGATTTCTTAAACTGGTTATTTAAGACTGGTTGATTTTAAATTCGCACTTTTCAAGTTTTTAGCTGATGTGGCTCAGTTAACAATCTAAAATTCATCTCAGTTTGTTAATATAAGCCAAGTCACTACAAAGTTATAACTTTTATCGCGCTTAAGTTTTGTAAGTTTTTTTTAGTTTACAAAAGCTTTACACTGAAGTTTAGAACCCACCTGAAGGATTGAATAAAAAAATTCTTTTTTATTTGCTTTGCATTTTCAAAAACTATTGGGAATTTGCGACCAAATTGAAGCGTTATTATACTGAATAGGCTTTATCTTATTTTTGTCTTAAACTGACCGAGTTGCCTGGGGATAAAATCATTTCTAAACTGTTTTACGATAAAGATGAATTTCGTTATTTTCTGTTTTTCGTCTTCTGGTTAATGTAATTGCATAGTTCTTAATTCACCATTCGTTTTTCATCTTCTCATATATTTTCGAGCTAGAAATATTGTAATATTGACCATTAACTAATGCCTAATGCTATCACTTTAATTTTAATATCAAAATACTTTTTCTTTAAGCACAACAGTTAATTCAAGAAATTTACCAATAGCTGGAGACCTCACGTCTCTCAAGCACATCAATTTATTGGATTTCACTAAGCGCGAAGTTTCAGCCTACCTGTTGTTTATTAAGTAGCCACTGATCTTGGTAGTAGACAGTTAATACATTTTTTCCTAATATTTAAATAAATCAGGTAATAAATTCTCTGTATATTGCATATACTAAGGTGTAAAATTAGTGTCTCAGTAAAATGGAAATATCACTTGTAAATTGATTGTAAATTAAAAAGATGGATCATTTAAAGTAAGCAAATGTCAAGTTTGATTTCTGTGATGAGAATTACGCTCGTAAATATTATCCTGTGGGAATTCGTTTAGGCTTCCTGTGTAAATTGAGAATTCTGATAACAAATTTTGAGATGCCTTACGTTAATAGTATTATATAGTAAATGAACAAGAGAACAGTATATTCTGTTGATTGAGTTCACTGTTTTGAAATGGTACTAACTTATCACCAATGCTTGATGATTCGATTCCCATTATTTAAACACCATAGTTGCCGTTCTTCTCATTTGAATCTAACTATTAGAATAAGTGTCTTATCTCGATTGTCTCAATTGTAAACTGTTCAAAACTCACTTCTCTCCCAGTTTTTACCACAACTCGCAGTTATCTGACTATCTTATGCTTCTTAGGCTGAATCACCTAGGGGTAATTACTCATCAGATAAGGTTTGAATGAACCGAAATATAGTCTAGTGTTTAAATCCTGTCAGTTTGCCTAACAAACATAGCAAAGTGTCCAGTGCGTCTCATAAGTATTCAATTAAGTTACGAGTATATTCAGTGCCGAATGAACTTTTATCTTGATCTAAAATGCCTACGGCTTTTTTGAAGAAAGTTTACAAACGAATTTAAGTTGCCGGTCAAATCTAAAATTGTTTTTAGCATACTCTGAGATAAAATTTACTGAGTATAGCTCAGCTGAACCAATCCAAAACATAAATGTCTATGAAAACCAGTAGCTCCGCTTCAAAGTCTCTACTATCCATGGTTGACTTTACATGCCATCCTAGAGTCTGCCGGGATAATCAGTCAGGCTTCTGTACTTCAGTTAGGATATCAGTTTTCGATTAAATTATAAGTCAGAATGGGTAGTTTTTGTAGTTGTTAGGGTCACCTTAAAATTCACCACTATCCATTGGGTCAATAACTTAATATCTGAAAAGTAGCGAGTTGTTACGGGGGTTACCCATAGCAACATTGAGTGGTAAATGACAAATCAACTTGTTTGAATTTCAACTGATGCTTACTGTCGGTTAAATTTACATCATATAATCATCAATCAATAAAAGTCACTTGAATATCAAGAAACCATACTGACTGACAGTAAATTACAAATGGAATAAACTTTTGGAGAACTAATAAAACCTGTTAGCGTTTGTTTATGTTGAGTGAGATTTTGTACATTTACTCGTTGCATTCTTATGATGATCATTATCCACTTAACTCAGCTACTGTGCAGAATTCGAAAACTATTAAACTCACTTCTACCTTCTTATTCAGGTCAGCTGATTTGATTCATAGAATATTGTTAGTAAAACACCATCTTCAGAATTAGCTATACTCAGCATCGATGTATAATATAAAGCGGCAGATAGGAAACTGAGGTATAATTGACCATTGTGTAAGGTGTATTTTACTTGTTTTAACCCAGAAAAGCATATTAGAACAAACAGTAAAATAAACGAATATTTTGTGTTATTTTCAATAATTATATCTTGCCAAGGTCGTTTTCAATAATATGAATCTGACATTAAATTTTCGGTTTCGCGATCTGCTTAATCTTTGGGCTACCAACAGTTTTCTCCATTGAAATGGTTTCATGAAATTCTTTGCTTTACGTTTGTTTCAACCTTTAAAAAAAATATATCCTAGAAATGTACCATGTACTTTTAAACATTTTTAGAAGTTTTTAAACTTTCGTTTCTCAAGCTATGAAAGGAACAAAGAAAAAACGTTACGGCAGAGGACAACGAACATCTTGATGCTCAAACATACAACACATTACTAAGATACCTATATCGAGTTGCAGATTTTCATACTAGCCGATTAACCTAACATCACCATATTACACTGGATTTTGTATTCATCCTCAAGTCCAGACCAGACACTAATGTAATGGCAGTTATCTGTTCTCCACTAGTGCCTTTACTACTGTTATTGGTGACACTTTTTGTGTGTGGTAATTATTTCTTTTAGAAATGTTGTACAAGGAGCGTATTTGTTGAAGTATGACCTGCTGAAGATTCCATAATGTATCAGACATATTGTTTGGAATATGGGAATTATTATTACCATTATTTACAAAAGGGTTAATCGTCAACTTTTTGCGCAGAAGGTGACCTTTGTGATCATCCGACTACATCGCGACGCTGAACAAAAACCAATATGATTAATCCTGTAAATTAGTTTCTCCTGTAGTACATGGCATGGCTAATAACACAAACACCGTTTATTTGAAATATTCAATCATTAAAGATCCTTCTTTGGTTTCACTTATCTCCTGTGAATGCCTCGATTTATTTTAAGACGCAGTAGCTTTGGTTTTAATGAATAGTAAGCTAACACTTGTCAACTGATTTCGCTTTTTAGATCTGTCATCCTATGCGTACAAATGTCCTGATTTACAAATAAAGCCAATATCCATCAGTAAATTGGAAATGATGACACATTTCAGTCGAAAGGAATTACAACTACTTTACCAAGGCTTTAAACAGGTAAGTATGGGGATATTTCTCAATTTTTGAAGTTTTGGAAAGATAAAATGAGACACTAGGTATCCACTATTGGAATGACTGAGTAGGTGATTAAGTTTTAAAAGACGATTGTCTAATTTTATGTATAACCAAGTAAAGCACAGTGCATATAATAACCTGATAACTGCTGCTGTTAGGATGCTGCTTTAACTTAAGATTTTTCATTTGCAGTCTTGATCTCACTTAAAAGAAATTTAATTACCATTCGTTGGCGGGATTTTAAACTAAGAGATATTTAGTAAAGATAAATACCTGCTATTATACAAGTCTTATCCGAAATACAAAAGTTTATGAGCTCTAGAAAAATGTTTTCTATTCCTCATATTACTTCAACCCTAGTTTGGATATATTAAGAACCTAAGCGCTAAATGCTAAAACTGGTTTCATTTGGATCTTCGAGTTTTCGGTCAATCAAGAGGTTGGTTTCCTTTTAGGAGAAAATTGCCGACTAATTAGATATCGTATAGAAACTTTCGTGGCTCTTTTTTAAAACCAAATTCCCTTAGATTGTTTTTGCAAGCCTTAACTTTGAAACTGGAGCCAAAGTTTCGCATTAAATATCTTGTAAATATAGAGTGGGGATCGTGTATCAGTGAAAAAACCATGATTTTGCACTTGTCGGCAGTCATCGAAAAATTGATCAATGTGAACATTTAGCGACCATGACAGTAAAAACACACTTTTGTAATAAATGACAATGGCATTGATTAAAGCCTTGAAACTTGATTTATTGTAGGATTCATATAATTACGCTCTAGGTCATTAAAAATATCGCTTTACCAGATAAGAGATGAAAATAAACTCATTACGTAGCCTAGAAGCTTAACTTTATTACATAAAATTCTTGCGATTTTTATTTTACAGAGATTTTTTCTGTTATGCATGCTTTATTATTGAAAGGAAGGTTAACATTCACCCTTCAGTTATAATTTTGCTATTTTGATCAATAGTTTCCAGTAGATTGAATAAGAATGGGGATTTATTCGATGAGCAAGTACTTTAGTTCTATGTATTGAACGTACGTGATTGCTTAGAACATCGATGACTAACTGTCCGAATATTTTGTTGAGTATGTTACTACAATCAATATTTATTCGATATGTTTCGTTACATGAATACAATGTAAACACCACTAAGACTAGCTTTCGGATATCAGACGTTTTTTAAGTAATTTTTCCACGTATTATCCCGTGAATCAGTAACGACAAGAATGTGTCATGGAATACTTGTAATCCAGTTAAAGTTAAAATCAAAGGCTTATATTTCGCTGTACTTGGAACCATTTCACGTGCATATACACCGTAATAGTTAGATGCGTTAGCAGTTTATATTTGGGCTTATGTATAGCGAATGCATCCATCCTCGAATACTGATCTAGAGTTGCACTGTGGAAGACCAAAACTATACAAATAAGAGGAAGTAATGTTATACTGATCTGGTTCCTGATATACCACCGTTTAAAGTGAGAGGTAATGCGCAATATTTTATAATGGGACGGCAATACTTACCATGATAAATTTGGATACACTTACTTGACGAGATATGGTGGAGTGAAGCACAAGCTGTGACGTTTATGTAGTGGAGCTACCGAAATGGATGATGTGATCAATTGTAATGTTAAAGGTATCGTTGCTGTGAGTAATCATTTCACACAATGATGATGAATTAAAGAAAATAAATAGAAAGTTAGGACTTGTAAACTCGTTGAAATTCAACACGTTTAATCAGTAGAATAGGCGGGATATGTGATTTGTATTTTGAGACATTCGTTGAATGAACCATAACGGGTTACTGATGATGAAATCAGTACTTTGTGAAAAATCAAACTTCAAACTTATACAACTTACGCAGAAGGAAGTCTAACTGGATAATTTTTAAGCGAAAGATTCTGTTTCAAAAGCCAATATCATTTCTTGCTTTTAATAACGGTACTGCAAACTATTAGCAGGACAACTATATAGTAGGAAGACTTTTGAGAAACATTTCCCTCAAATGAAAATCCTTCAAACTCTCAGTTGAAGTATTTTCAAGAAAAGTTAGAACAAGTATAAACTTGCTAACTTAGATGCTGTCAAGGGAAAACTCGGCATACCCGGAATTAGTTATAAATTACAGCAAGATATTTTAACCAGTGTAGTCTAGCTTGAACGTACGCTAACTGTGAAGTAGAATAAGTGAAGTTATCTGAACTATCTTGCTTGAAATATATTCAGATGCCTCTTATATAAGACTGTCTAGAGAATGGCTGAAAAACACTCTTTCCTTCCAACAAACAGATGGATTTCATACAATTTTACCCCCTCAACAACTTGAAAAACAACAATGGTAGAAGAACTTGCTCGCGTTTATTCAGTACCTATCCTTAGTAGTTACGAAAAAATGCAACATAATTTCCGATTGTTAAACCAGGTTTTGCTCCATGAAACTTTTGTCAGGAATACATAATCGACAATGCTAGTGATGAACGAAAGTAAAATGGGAACCTGTATTGTTGCAGAATTTGAACTTGCAGTCTCCGGTTTATCCGTCTGCGGCTCTATTAACTTGGTTATGAGGCTCAGATGCTGAATGGGTCTTAATTTCTCATGATAGTTTCATAATTTTGCAACTTTGCTTCGACTTCTGTTTTATCCTAGAATATTCATTCTTTGTGGTGTTAGTTATATAACTCAATAAATAGTTAACTTCTGGACAATCTTAACAGTTCCCTTGAATGTCATTAAATCTTTGATTCGTGTTACTTTTTATCTCAGTCAAAACATTCTTGCAAATTTTATGAATGTATGTTGCATACATTGTTTAGTCAAAAACATTTTATCGTATGCGTTTTAAAGCGACTTAGGAAAAGATATGAAATATGTGCATTCATTTTCTGCTAATATTGTTATTCTAGCTTTCATTAGATGAATCTATTCTCTATTGGTTATTTCACGTAACATAGCACACGGTCGTAAATTATTATTTACTAATGGTATTTCAGGCGCATCTTAATGTTTGTACTTGAAAAAGTAACTAGACTACTTCTACGCTGTTTTGTAATCCGATATGTTCTGATACCTGTATGTTCAGTCGCAGTGGATATTCGAAAATAGAAACTTAACAAAATGTGTAACGGTGATTTTTTAGATAAATAATCCAGAGGATATCCTAATTTTAGTGATGCACTTACTGTATGGTTAACCAAGTTGAGAGTCATGAAATCTAATAACATTAGATGAAGACAGAGATTGATCACGGAATCTCTATTCATAGAATCAAGGCTAATTAACTGCAGAAAGAATATTTTACTACCTAACAATAGAAGTATATGAGATTATGGATTACAAGAAAGAAAGCTAAAAGGTTATGGAACTAGTCTGAAATTACTGTGAGCTCGAAACATCTACCGTAGTTGCAAACTATACCTCTAGAACGTCATACAGTTAAGATTAGATTAGTAAAGTGCACAGTGAATAAAACATTAAAGGACAAGACATCAAAGAGACACCATAGTACTTAATCCATGTGAAGGACGACACTATTCAAGATTCACAAGCTTATTTTATTGGTGAAATCAAATCTTAAGGTTGAAATTCAATACAGATGTGAGACCAAGACTAACCCAGTGATAATTAAGGTGACTCTTTTTAACCACTTGAAAATTTGGTAGGACTTGAAAAGCCTGGAAACATCTCTTCACTGTTTGAAAACAGTTTACAATGTCGGCTTTTATACTATTCACGTCATTTGGAAAGGTTTTAAAAGTTATGAGGCATACATCTTACTATAGTCTATTTTTATAAAACAGTCAAAATGGTCATGATAGTATTGAAGAAATTCAATGTGGCGAAACCTGGTTGTGAAATCATACTCATAAAATTGTATATTAGTAATTAGTAAAATAGTCACATTCATACTTCCATTTGTAATTTGGAAACTCATCACAAACACATACTACATATATTCATTACCTTATTCAGTCAGTTAGGTTATCATATATACCGTTGGATATCGATTTATAGATCATTTTACTTTATTGAAGCTTTTAGCAGGATATACTGTTTTATAAACTCAATATAAGTGATGTAAACTCGGAATTATTTGAAGTCTCAAAGCCATTCACAGATCCATTTCAGTCTTTGGAATTAATGTGGAATAAGTGTACTTCTGATTCAAAATTGAACCAAATCTCAGCACAGACTATTAGATTATGAGCGGTAAGTTTTGTGAGCTCAGTGAAGTGGAAAGTCTTTCACAGATAACGTGACTTCATGTTGTATTCATATTTACTTGTAAACGTGTTATATTTTAATTGAAATGTATGTTCACACCAGGTAAAGAATATCGTGTATCACTGACAAATGTAAGTGAATATGAATCATTTATTCTGAGCGTAAATGATACTATAGTATTTATTAGAGGAGAAAAAAGTCTCATCGTGATCACAACATCCTAAAAGTTCACAAGATTCATACATGACAAGCAACTTGTGGGTGGTTTTTCGTGTATTTTGAATTTTAATGGCTACTAAAGGATTGCTGGATTAATGTCTTAATTTTATTAATTACATCCAAAGATGGTTAGTAGCATCATCTCAGTCACAGGCATTTTAAAGCCATTATTCACAAAACAGAAGGACAAGCTTGACTACTGGAAGTATAGCACCCAGAATAGATAACAAAAATAGTTGGAAAATTTAATTCGAAACAGGAAGCATAAAATGCTTATTGAAGAACAGGTTTTTGTTCAAGATCATGATTAGAAATGCAACACTTAAAAACAGACTCATGTTATTGTGTCCAAATTATTTACATTTCTGGTTTATAAATGTAGTGTTAAGTGTTTTCATGTACTTTAGTTAGTTAAGATACACTAACCTGAAGGGTGCAGAGACTGCAGTCTACTAACGTAGCAGTATTCAGAACAGCAAGCAACTACGAGAAAAGTTTGAAGCGTAGCTATGTGTAAGTGATAATGTTAGAACAAACCAAAGCTTTTTGTTAACGTAGAACTAGTGTTTAGTATTTGTAAGACTTTACAGTAGTATTGACTTAGATTTCGCTACTGGCTTAGATGTGAAGGTGTAACGGAAACATTGTTATGGGAGGATTACAAACAGTGGCTTCTAAACAAGTGACAATTCCAAGAAAATTAATTGGCAAAAATTATTCAGTACTGAAGTGGTTATTTTAAACATTCTAACATATATCAAGTTGTTGATGACATACATGAGAAATTTCATGAGCAGCAAGTACCATTTAATTTTTACAACTGATAATAAACACTTTTTAGACCTTACATATGCATATATCCATATGTTTGGACATATCATTAGAGCCATGGATACCTCATGCACGCTTTCTAATACCTAATATTTCTAGCCAACATAAAATCAAACTAGTAATGAATAGAAATGTAGTTTATAGCTTTGCCTGAGAACTATTTCAAATACACATTTTATGACCTGCTCCTGTGATTATTGTTGACTCTTGGATTCAGCAATATTGGAAAGTGTCTGACAGCAAATAAAAAATTTGGATATTTCTCCATCAGATCAGAAAAGAATGAAGAAACGTGACTATGAGAATGCTTACTAAAGTCGCACTTCTGAGCACTTTATAGCTTCTGTAAAGATATTAGAAGCAAAATTCTATCTACTTCATACTGATGATATAGTATTTTAATTCAGTGTCCTAATAGTAAAAAGATGATTTCAGTAAAAACCCGATTTGGTATTGCATAGTGAAAATACAGAAATGCACAGTTTGGAAATTTCTGAGGTTTAATCTCACGAAATGCACTTTGAAGGAGTAGATTGCACATTCATCGTTTTAGGTATTTCTTTAACCTTTATTTCTAGAATAAACTTTGATAAGAAATTAGAGCAATAAATTCTCCTCGAGACATCATTCAGTAAATTGTACTGTAACACTGTGTGCTATATCAAATAAACAATCTAATATAGAATAAACGAAATCCTTGGTGATAAAAAAACGTATGACACTGCGAGAACGCATATGAAGTAAAGCTGTTTTCTTGAACTTAAGAGAAAATAATTCGGTGAATTTTTTTTGGTAGCAGGCATAAAGTCTTTTCAATTTGTAGGTGCTAACATTTCAGTACTTCAGAAAAAAACCATTTTGTAATGTTTGATTTCATTTCTCAAATATACATACTGAATAGTAATGGATGTATGGTGTTGGGAAAGGGGGAAGTGGTATATACATATATATATATCTGAAAATCCATAGTAAGCTAGTTTATGGCTTTAGATTTCTTATAAACAGATTTTTTGTGAATTTTGTATGAACAACAAGGAACATGTTGATATGATCACGAACAAACGAATTATGTTACAATAATAAGTTAGTTATGATATGTTTCATCATCATGACTTACAAATCGTGTTATACCTTGAAGTACACCCTTGAGCAGATCCTCATGCTTTTCACTCAGTCATTCTATTACCAACTGAATTGATTACAGTTCAAACTAAATACCATACTTTTGATTTCTAAGTAATGTTCTAAACATTTGATGTAGTTTAGACCAAACAATATTTACTTCAATAAAATAATATATCCACCTTATGCATACTATATTTTCAACATATCATTGCAAAAGCAACTGTTTTACAAATCCTAGAAGTTAGAATAGTGGTAATTTATCACCATACTTTAGAAGAATATAAAGCTAGAGTATGATTATTTGTGGAGTCAACTATTAAAATAAGTAATGGTATCTTCAAATATGACTTACGACGGAATCATTATCCCAAAAACCGCCAACCTATAGTTGGAGTTTACAACACAGTCAGTTTTCGAAACCTCATTCCCCAATATACATATCTTTTCCTTTCTTGCTTCTTTGTAAAACTTGTAGAGTAAAGAATAAATTTAACACTGAATTAAAAACCCCATGAAGTTCTATTCAATTTAATCATTCTGTATTGCTGCAAATTTTCGTGTACTTGATACCCTTCACAAATACAAGCGAAGAAATAACGAGTACATTCGTAGGAGAACTGCATATGATTTTATTACTTAGTGAGTATTGGTCGTTCTTTGATATAGTGAAATCTGATCCCTTCTTTGAAGAAGAATAAGTGATTGTTTGACGTGCTAACTAAATACTTGATTCTTAATTAGGAAGATACTTTTTGAATAATAGAGAACACCACCGATTACTATGGTGTAAAATTGTCAATGTTATTAAAAAAGACTGGTAAAACTTAGTAATCTGTAATGAAATTTAGAGCAAAACACCAAAATGCAAAATATAAATCGAGAACTAGCTGGAAATGACATATAATATCTATATATATATATATATATATGTGTCTAATTTTACAGCTTGTGCTCCAGGGGAAAACTAATGCTACAGTAGCAAACAAAATTGTGGGCTTGAACTTTTTAAATATTCCTAGTAGTATGCCTGAGAGACACTCAGCATTGTTAGTGATAGTCTACAGCAAATCCCTTCGAAATTGAAAATTGAAATTGTTATGCATAGGATTTCAAAAATTTTGTTTTGCAAGCCTTATAGTTCACTTCCGGAGAAGGATATGCATTTTTTTCTGGGACAGCATACAAGTTGATGATTAATTTGTAGTCAGATAATTAACAGTTATAATTATTTCGAGGTAATATTCATCACCAAGTAATATGAGCCGGAAAAACATTGAAAACCTGGGAGCAATGGACAGCTGTTTCGTACTAGTACAGGACTCGTCAGTAGTGCGTAACCGTTCCCTCACCAGGAATCGTACTTAAAGCCTTCAGTTTTCGTACCTACTCCTTACATGCTTAATGCTGTACTAGTATGAAATAACTGTTCATTGCTTTTAGTTTTTCAACGGTTCTCTAAATTATGGCAGTTAGTGATAAGTATTACCCTGAAATAAAATCTCTATCAGCATCAAACTATAATTGTTGTCAGTCGATTTTTGACGAATGCAATTGCAAAGTCTAGTGGAAGAGCTGCATAACATCAATAATCTTCTGAAAAAAGATGTTTTTCTTCAAGAAGGTTTGCAGAGTTTCGGGGTGTTTTTTGGTTATGCCGAAATCCAAAGATAATGTAAAAAGCATGGAAACGCTTCAAAGTGTTGGACAACATTTAAGGGATCTTTTAGACCATTTGGATTACATACTTCATTTTGTTTACTTAAACATAGTCTTTGACATCACTATTCAAATTCAGATGAATATTTACTTATGCAAACTGTCAAAAGGAACAATATAAAATAATACCAAAGTTGAAAGATATTATTTCACGGTAATACAAGAAACACTAATCATCCAGTTATTTGCAACTAAGTTTCATCAAAATGTTGAGTATGAGATCTATTACAAACCTAAAATAAAGTAGGTAACGTCCACTTTACTCACATACAGTGTTAAAGTGTTTTGAAATATCTTGCATAACTGCTCACAAAGAAATTCTGTATAGTTCAGCCAAAAGGTGACAAAACAGAATGCTACACATTTTGAAATTCATTATTTTGTTACAAACGTGTCATCCAGTATTTGTGTTGCAAGGAAGCCAGTTAACATTTTGATCAACCTATTCTAGTGTTCGTAGGATACTGTGAATAAAAAGCGAATCATTTTATTTACTTTTTAAATCCATTTTATAGATTTGTCCTTTGGGTGTTGCAAGTAAGGAATCCTTTGTGGGTATCTACCAAAAGTTCTTCCCTAACCGTGGTGAGTTAGTAATTTTTTGTGTTTTGTATGAATAAAACAATCTATCTGAATTTTCAAGCATCAATTGATGCAAAAAACTTCGTATAATCATTACTTTAATACAATTTACAGTGTAGAAATTTATGCTTATGTAGAAAATCTAGGGAACACAAAGTTTTTTTAAAAAGCTGTAAAAAGGTTATTTGATACAATAAAGGCATACTGCATATTATGTAGAATTGATCAATGTTGATTTCATGAGTCAAAGACAGACTACCTGACTTCATCCATTTAATGTGTATTTATCAGTTACACTGCCATTTTGGAGCCAGTTACATTCAGTGTGTGGTTTGATAGATCAATCATCAAAATGCTCAACGCCATCCATCGTGGTTTGGCAAACGACAGACAAAATTGATCTGAGGCTACCTGTTGTTCCATCTGCTTGATAATGGTCACTAAGCTGACGTTACTGATGCTTTTAAAGTTATTTATCACATTCCTTCTTATCTCACTCATGCTCTACGAGTTCGTCTTCTGCAAACATTAGCAAGCTAAGCCTGTGTTCAAAAAAATCCGTAGAGCCTTTTTCTTTGTCTTGATCATCTGTATAACTTACATACGCAAAGATGAATTTTCCCCTAGTTCATCCCACAAACGATTGTAATTACTATTATTATTAGTAACAATACAGTTTGAGCTGTCTTGCTGCTCTTATTTTTCTGACAGTGATTATCATCAAAACTGATCGGTTGACATAATCGTTCATTCTGCGTTCTCGTTGTTTATTATTATGCAAACTATCAATTATGAAACAAACTATTGAAAAACCCACAAATCTTACTGTGTAACCATCCTATACCCTGAGTACTATTATAATGACTTCGAGATTAATACCTTGTTAATAATAAATTACAGGTTAGGAAATGATATCTTATTTGTATTTTGAGAATGCTATTTTAAAATGTACAGCCATTGATGAGAAGCTAATTGGAAAGAAATATTTTTTTGCCTAAATTGTTTGCTTTCTAAAACAAGAGGATTTCGTTTTATTCCACAATCTCTAAAGTTCTTATTTTGCGGAAATAAAGTGACATAAAATAAGAAACCAACAACTAACACCAGCACTGCAAAGTACGTCATTATAATAAACGTTTACCACCTACCACAACTTCAGTAGTCCACAGAAATCTGATTTGAATTATAAACAGCTGACAGCTTTTTTTATATGGTATGTGATTAGATGGCGTCTTCAACAACTATATGAAGATGCCACATGCCAAGTAATTCACAATGAGAAGCTCAGTGATGCTTTTGAAGTGAAGACATGAGTGAAACTAGGTTGCCTACTATCACCCATGATATTCCTGATTGTGGTCGACTGGATCATGCAGCAAACAGTGGGGAGCGAGAAGAGGGGGATACGCTGGACTGCGGAAAAGAACCCAGAAGATCTGGATTTCGCCAGTGATGATTTGCGCCTGATGTCACATAAACTTGAAGATCTACAGGCGAAAACTAACAAGTTGGCAGAAGAGGCGAGGCAGCGAAGACGGGACTTCAAGTGAATATAGAGAAGACAGAGGTGATGAAGATACCGCACCACCACTATCAACAACAACAAACTCCAGTCACCATCAATGGGAGAAACTTAAAGGAAGTAACCTCCTTCACCTATCTAGGAAGCACTGTCTCAACTACAGGCGGCACAGACGAGAATGTCAAAATCAGAATCGGAAAAGCAAGACAGGCATTCACTAGCCTGAAACCAGTGTGGAGATCTTCTGCACTCAGCGTAAAGCGTGAACAACATCCGGATTTTCAACATCAACGTCAAATCATTGCTTCTGTATGGTTGAGAGAGTTGGCGTTTTACGAAAGGGATTTCCAATAAATTACAGACATTCATCAACAACTGCCTACGCTTGCTACCGAAGATCAGATGGCCAGAATGAATAGGCAACAAGGAGCTCTGGGAACGAATCAACCAAGAACCTATCACCCAACAAATATGTAGTAGGAAGTGGAGATGGATTGGTCATACACTGAGAAAGCCGACTGTGGACATCACGCATCAGGCCCTCGAGTGGAATCTCTATGGGAAGCGACGAGTTGGGAGTGTGAGGTGAGGGTGACATGGAGGAGATCGTATGAGGAGGAAATGAGAGGATGTGGGCTGTTGTGGAACCAGGTTGAAAAACTTTCAGAGAACAGAGTTCACTGGAGACGTTCTACTGAAGCCCTATGTTCCATTAGGAACCCAAGGGACTAATAATATAGTAATAATAATGTGATTAGATTGGTCAGTTGTTTTTGTAAAGCTTTTCCTACACGAACTCAATATAAATTCGTCAATAAAATTGACACCTTTTTGTTTCTAGCAGGTCAATATTCTAATTTTATTTATAAAATCCAGTCGAAATAATTTCAATAACCTAAAATATGAACATCATTCAAGGAAACAGTAGAAATAAACAAATGTGACGGAAAGCAAAAACCTTGAAATTAACTTACGGCGCTATTTTATGTTTCATATTATCTCGAAAGCCATTCTTTCTGAATAGTTCCAATAGAATTAGACTAATAATGCTAATTAGCTATATGCATCCTTGAAATTTCAATCAAGTTTGAAACTATATTTAATTCGTTTTTTTTAAAACAAAGATTTATAAAGTAATTATTTGTTCATGTTTAGGGTGAAACAAAATACTGGTCGTTTGATTGCAACATTTTTCTCTTGTTTTATTTGGACAATTTCCATATTAGCTAATCATGAAGTCTTAATTAAGGAAATTCGTTAAGAAAATGTATGTAGAAGTTTGAGTTATCTACAAATTCTGTTACTTACAAATGCATAATTTTCAGTAAATTTTACTTTAGTGAGTACACGTCTGTAATTTACTGATCTCTAATTTAGTCTAGACTGTCCGATTTCCTTACTTTGTGATTTGTAAGATATTACCTTTAGATCGTTCAACGTCATGTATATTCAAGATGCATAAAATATAACTATCATAACTCTTAATGTTGCAAACATAAAATTGCCATTTTCATTACATAGAAGATGAGTATGGCTTGAAGACCTTCACTCTTTGTAATGATGACATACGGGCAACATATTTCCTATTACAATACAATAATTTGATTATTACTGATAATTTAGCAGCTGGACGTTTACGTTGTATTCCATGATTCCGACCATTATGAGTGCCAAAGTTTTGTGAAGTCATTGTATGATATCTGTTCGAATTTACTCACAAGAAAGCATAATTAAGTAATAACTTCAACATAACTTGAGATTTACCGCTGTATTTTAGCTATTATCTGTTGCTTTTAGAGATTCGTCTTTTTGGTGAGTTTTAAATGATGTGGTGTTAATTGCATTATCACTTTTTTTTTAGAAATCTATAGAAAATCAAACATTATCCTAACAGTTTTCATCGTGTCTTTCTTCTATTCATCTTTTAATGAAAACATTATTGATTTCAAAATCAGAAGGGTTAGTAGTTTGTGAAATAACACTATCAGTGTTGTATTAGATGGAGTCGGGCAGCAGTGAAACCTAGGGTGCATCTTTTTGTTTCTAACAGGTCAATATTCTAATTTTATTTATATTCAAGAGTCTTTAGCTGGGTGTATCTGTATCATAGTAACTTCTGATGTTCCCATAGAAACTTGAACTCAAGACTAGTAAATAACACCCTGGTGTTGCGAATGGCTAGTGTTATGTTCAATTCATATCGTGACTCTGATAAATCTGGCGGACAGGTCATACAAATGAATAACAACTGCACTTTGGATTCCACTGCAATTTACAGTCAACCAAATAACACTGAGCTAACATTCAAGGCAATGTTGACATACCAGTTAATACAGCACATATGATAGCCAAGAGTGATCAGTTAGCGCAATAAAATAAATAGTATTTCTTCACTTCTTAAGAACTTCTACAGCTGGTATGAGGTGGCTAGTATGAGATTTCTATTACAGAGTATAATATTTTTCTGTGTAGTCTGTGATTACCGAATATCATTCTCCTAATAAGGTTTCTGGCACAAATCATTGTTTCTAGTCATGTCATCTTAACATAATTATAAGCAATAAGCTGTATCTTGTACTCTAACTCGTATGCTACAAGTTTTGGTAGACCATAAAAACGTAGTCGGGAAACAGAAGTAGTTTTATCACTTTTCTGAATGTCTTGGATATATATTCATTTGAGGTACTGAAAGATGAGAGCAAAGCTTTAAATGCCAACAATTTTCAGGGTTCCAGTGAATGTACTACATTACAGAATTTTGATTTTAGTCAGGGGATATTGATTACGTCAAGTTTGACTGAAAAGAATTTGTTTCTAAGAAAATAAAACCTTTTCCAATATATGTTTTTGAGATTGAAATGTAGCCGAAAAATTTAATTTTCGTTACTACCAATTTAGATAGTAATTTTTTATTGTTTTATTGATCAATATTTTAGCATCCAGTGCATACGCTCAGTTGTGTTTTCGAGTTTTTGACAAACGACACGCAGGAGAATTAACATTTGAGGTAAGTCAGTGTTGTCGTTATACATGACTAGGTTCATTTTTTTATCACCTCACTGGTTATTTACCTTGAAAAGATTTAAACAAACTATTTGCACTTAACTCAGCGTTAAGAACTAAGTGTTGTTCAATTATCATTTGTTATAGCTTGTACCGAAGAGGAAAATATCGTTTTTCAAGAAAAATGTGACAACCTATAAATTTCTGTTGCACTTAACGACACATATAACCTGGTTCCTTAGTATTTGACGAACAATCTAGTGAACAAAGAATATTCTTCTCGATAACTTCTTCGGGTCGTACAGTTATATGTATACACTGAGGAATTATGCGTCAGTAATATAGAGATTTCTCTTATCAGTTAGTTAATTGATTCTATAATGAACATTTCTCAATATGTACATAGAACTGTAGAACCTAAAAAAAGCTATCGAAAAGAATATTCTTTGTTCCTGCAAATGGCTTTTAAATTGTAAAGGGAATATTAAATAATTTGATGAATAGTTTCATTTTTTACATCCGAAATATGTAAGACCTACACCTCAGTGTGTATTTATGAATGGGTTAAAGCTATTCAACGGTTAGAATAGGTTGTTTGAAGTAACCAGCAAGGAAGACGCAGAATGTATGATAAACAACATTTGTGAACAACCACTTAGGTTTAATTTATAAGCTAGTTTAACTGAATTTTTCTAAGATAAAGTAACATCCTATTCATGCTATTGTGACAGAAATAGTTCATAATTTCAATCATAAAAGCGTATCGAAAATACAGCTGAATCTCAAGCACAATGCGAGAAGAAAATTGTTCTGCATGAGGTGATTTATAGGCATGAATGAATAATCAACTACGTAAAAGTAATACAACTCACAATCACAATAAGATAAGATGAATTATAGCAGTTGACTGATAATATCTAATTTATTCTACTTCATATCAGACTAATTAATTGCGAATTTCTAGTTAGTACTCTATAAGGAGTGTAAGAATTAGAAGATTTGATTTGAGAACTTGTTTTGAAAAAAAGAAACTCTTGATCAAAGATAAAGATTATTATCATTTCAACAAATTACTAAAACATCCTATATAAGGCACTGTATTGTCCAAACACACCTTTGTAGTAAAAGCTTATTCCAGTGGACAATGATGTATGCTGGTACATGAAGTCAAAGGAGGCTACTTTTAGGAATGAATATGCTAAACTATCCCAAACTGTTTGATGTAATTGATGCCAAAATCTATGCTTGTGTAACGCTTTGAAGTTATGCGCCCATGTAAATATCCACATAGTTGGATGCAGTATTATCCAACTGATGAAACTGCTCATGCTTCCTGTTTTACCAACCCATTTAAAAGCATCAGTAATTAAGCATTCTGTTTGAAGTGACGTTAAATAGCTTGCATTCTTTATATACACACTTAGCATTAGAATGAGAGATCGGATAAGCTGTATTCAATTGATTTTATTAAGTTAGATATCTGGATTATAAAGTTTCAAAATCGTTTAATTCCATTTTAATCTGGTCGTTAAAGTTGTCACACAGAGCAACAGTAATAATTAGAGGATAACGTTTCAAACATAATTTATTCTCGATATTCATGTCAAGTGCCTGATCTATTATATACAATTAATCATGGCCAAAATGTAATCGGGTAAATTAAACTGTTTCACTATGTAACTTCTAATAAAAGCACTAAAATGGACTTACAAACTGCCACGGTGCTCAAGTTCTACGCCTTTACAAAAGTGTTTAAGGTGTAGTATTAACCGCTGAGACTGTGTCACTCATTGATGTGGGATGTATCCTTTCAGCAGATTGATCTAACAATAAACGCACGTGGCCTTTTAATGTATATTTTAACATACTACCAGCTGGAACGAAAAAAATATTAGAAGTGATGATTATCAAGTCTACCAGTTTAGTCAAAACTAACAGCATAGGAGTTGCCCACTGTAGTGACTGGTCGAGCTACAAATAACTGTTACGTAAAATGTGAAGTTAGTGAACAAAGCGAGTGGTGGTCAGAATATTTCTGCAGCAAATACATAATGTAGAGACTAAAGGGAGGAGTCAGAACATCTTATCACAAAACTGTACTAATGTTACTGAATAATAGACATAAATAGAGATATGGTTAGCTATATCGATGCAGAAACTGGAACAGAAGTTTCTCAGTTCATGTTGCCACACTCCACAGCCACGTACAGAGAAGTGCTTACGCAAAGTGTAATCTTACGGTAGAAGAAAGTGTTTAATAGTCGAGAAGACAAAATAAAGAAGGTTGGCGGAAACGTTTCATGCTTCGAAAATGATGAATAACTCATGTACGTTTTCCATTGTGACTGACTTTTAGCCATATCACCAAAAGTCCGGGACTATTGATTCCTATTGTCTCAAGGACCCAAGTAAGGCAGCTCACACTGCACGTCTTTTATCACCAGTTATATTCTCTATAGATTAGTGTCACGTCTTGACTTGACCACCCATTGTCTTCTTTCATCTCATTGCTTAAAAAGGAAATTCTAGGCCTCATCTCTGAGAATCAATCATACTAGCTGTCAGTTATCAGTCCCATCCTATAACACTTAGTCAACAGTGAAAACATAATCACAGAAGATCTGCTGAATGTACTTCATAGGATCCAGAAGAAGCTTTATAAAGGTATGAGAAGATGTCTACTATGCATTGCCGTGGCCTTAGCAATATGGAAGCAAAAAACGATTGTGCGAAAGTGAATTTCGCTTTCAGCTTTTTTCCTCACTCATCGACATTGTGGATCATTAAACCTAACTAATCCTTCTTATCTTCTGGAAATTTTTTCCAATAAATGTGATCACTATTTATTTGTTTAAATGTCATTTCAATGATTCCGAGAAACATATCGTTAAAAAAAAATTTGTCTTTTGAAGTTCCCCTTCTTTTACGACCTGATTCTGTCTTGCATTACATTGGTTATCGAGGTGAATGGCGTGCACATGCAACACATGTTCAAGCCATCACGGTCAGTTAGGGCTCATGACTTAATTGACTGACTTGCACTTCCTGCTTAGTACCCTCTGGTAAACATAAACAATCCTGATATGTTGATTTCATCACGCGACAGCAATGCTAGGAAGATATCCAAGATCAAAACTTGTAATTGCCAAACATCTCCCTTTTAGAGACGGTGTCTCACACCAAAGGAACATGAAACAATGGACTAAAGTTCAACACACTCGTCCTCCAAAAGGGAGCTAAACATTTTTCTGGCACCAGAGATTATGCAAAGTATCAGTTGCTAAACAGCCCTTTTACATGTAAGGTGAAATATTGTAGACAATCGACCCATTTGGACTAATTTAACTCCCCCATTCAGTAAAAGAGTCATTGTTTTCACCAGTTTCACACCCTGTCTTTAGACTGAGAGTAGCTACAGATTGGTATTGAAGCATAATCTCATATGTGACTAGTGCAAAGCACGTAGCAAATATACTCAGATTCGAGGCATTCAGAAGACTTTGCATTTTTCAGTATCTGAATTGTCTGAATTCTAAACGTCTACGCGGCTGCCGGTAGGAAGGTAAACTAATTCTTGAGAAGTCAGTGATACCCAGAATTGCATCAAATAGCACATCTATAAGAAAGATATGCAAGATTGGTGATAATGATCATATTTGATGCACGCTGCTTGTTGTCGTTACCTCAGAAGATAGTTTTATGTCTCAAAAACTGACAAGAATTAGGGCTCATCCGATGAACCATTGCCCAATTCTAAAACCGGTACAGTTTCTCGATGATAAAAAGTTCAGAAAAGAGGATTGTTTTCTGATTACTATCTTTTTAATTTATTGATCTTTTGACTGTTGAACTTCAGTTATATGCGGAATAACTTTATATTGAGATTTGTGGTGTGATTTTAGTAAAACCGATCCTTTTTTGGTTATTTTGAAAGGATTTCTCCGATGACTCCTTTTTTGTTTTGATAGTAAACCATCGGGTCTTGCTGTTTGAGTCATTAGAACCTTCATATTTCAAGGAGATTTGAAGAGCTTGTTTTCACTTTCATTCATCTTTGTGCTGGATGCAGAGAAACGTTAAAATGCCCTTCAGAAGTGTCTCATTCGAATTTCTAGACACCTTACCTGGGAGCTAACCTGTAACTCATTCTTTTCTTCGAAAGGTTTCATTAATCAATATCGTCTTCCTAATAATGTCTTTGATAGGCTAATAGAACTGCCAAGTATAACCATAAACTGTTGCCCTCTACACGCAGTTCATCGACCTCCACCGTTTGTGGTTACTGTAAAAAACCCTATCCAGTTTGTATTAAAATTACTTTTACTCTTCTATGTGGTTAGAGCCAGCTGGAAGTAGTCTTCTGTCACAGTAAATGATGTGGAGGTGACAAAAATGTCTACAGGTAAAGTTCAGTTAGTGCGTCTTTAAATGTTTTCGGGGTGTGATTACTCTCAAAGTTAAATGAATAAATTGCCAGATTGGAATGGTTTGTACAGTAGACATCGGTTTACCTATATAGTTGCGGTAATACATGATTCAATTCAAAAGCAATTGATACTGGGTGGTGATTGAAGGTGAAATTAAATCTGTACCATGGCCTGATTCGAACCAGTGACCATCATGTTTCCGGTAGGATGCTATATCAACTGAGCTACGAGGTTCGACTTCTGGCCAGATTTTTATTTCACTTCAATCACCAAGGGTTTTGCCCGACTACCAGGTGGCTGGTGGTTCGAATCCGGCCACGGTCGAAATTTTCGTTTAATCTTCAATTATCACACTGTATCAATATTAGTCTGCCAAACCACGGCTATCTCAGATAGACGAAACGATAAATAAAAGTAACTGTCTCATATTTAAGGTTATTTTGTTATTAATGCTATCAAAATCTCCTACCAACGATTTGTGGAATACAGCAGTAGTTATATTTTGATTCAATAACAAAAATAATGTTAAAGCGCTGAAAAAATTTATTAACATTATTAGCTATGAGAAGAAATCGGA